AGATACCGAAACCATAGAAGCAATGAAGAAGGAAATGCCATGGAAAATCACCGGCGAAGACCTAAGAATCTACAAGAAAAAGGTGAGAATGTTTGGGCCCGTCTTTCTTGATCTGTCCAATTCCGCCCCCCCACTCCATTCTGTCAGAACTAATCCTTCCATAGTCCCCACCATCCTGCCAGAATTGATGAGAAGCATTAACAAGTCTAGCAACAGAAGTAAAAGTTCTCTCAAATGAGCCTCAGCTCCTAGCGATTGCCTAGATGCTTTTTTTCCCCAGGATAGTTATTTCCTCTTCCCCTTTTAACCTCTGTCCCTTTGATCTCCTTGTGGCCTTCCTTCCACATATTAATAAACCCCCCCCCCCGCCCAAGGTAAGCTTAACACTTCCACTTGAGCTGGGATTAGAGTGTTAAAGAGATAGGAAAGGGAAGAAAAAACAACAAAACCTCTAAAAACTAATTTTTTCCCCTCTCCTCCTCGTCTTTCTAGTCTGAACAGCACATGCGTCTTCACGAGGTACTGCAAGATCACTCCCGCAATGCAGCCCTCATCGTCATGTGAGTTGCGTCCTCTTTCTTAGAGTGGCCAGCATCCCTAATGGTTATAGTGTTCTTATCCGGGGCAACAATGTACCCCTTTCTTTGTGAATTAAGTTTATGGTGGTGGATGGCTCACAAAATTGCAGTTATGAAAACATTGCCTTGTTGATTCCTATTAATTTGACAAGTATGTATGAGGGAACATGTGTGATTTGAGTGCCAGCATGGTTTAATGTTAAGGTACTGGACGAGGAGCAAAGAGATTTATATTCTAATCTATTTTGCAGACCCAGAAGCATCCTGAGGGGCTTTGGGTCAGTTCCTAACTTTTGTCCTATCTTACAGGGTTGAGGTGGGAGAAAGGTTGAGGAACAAAAATACAAGTTACATTAGTGTAAGCTCCTGAGGAAAAGGCAGGAGATGCATATGTACGTTTGGCTACACCCCAGTTTTGCACACAAGAGTATTGGATGGAAAATTCAAGACTCAGAAAATGCAGCTTTTTCTTGGGAGCAGGAAATCTCCAGAGCTCAATATGTGTCATTAATAGTTCCAAAGTACAGGTGTTTCAGGTCTTAGTGTCCTATTCTTTTTTTGTTTTGCTAGACAATTAAAACTCTTTAGGCACAAAAAATAAATTACATACCCAGCTATGAAAACAGATCTGATTCACGTTTTTTTGGACATCAATTTTTATTTTTATCCCTTTATTATTTCTATAAATAATGGAAGGCAGCAAATATACACCTTCATTCTCTTATTTCCCCCACAACAACAACCCTGTGAGGTAGCTTGGGCTAAGAAATAAGCCAGCTTGGAAGGTTGCAAATGGTGATCAGATGACCCCGGGATGTTGCAACCATTGTAAATACACACTGGTTGCCAAGCGCTCAAATTTTGATCAAATAATCGTGGGGATGCTTTGATGCTGGTAGCCTGAGCACAGGGTTGGACTAGAAGACCTCCAAGGTCCCTTCCAAGTGTTATTCTTATGAAAATAGAGGTGGGGGGGGGAAGAGGGAGGGACTGGCTCAAGGTCAGCCAGCTGGCTTTTATGGCTAAGGTGAGAGTAGAACTCACTATCTCCTGGTTTCTAGCCTAATGCTTAACCACTAGACCAAATTCTTTTAAAATTTAAATTTAATTTAGAAAGTTGTACATTTTTTCCTGGACATATATTCTCACCTGCTAGAAAAATAAACAATCATCCCTCCCCCACCCCCCAAAAATTGACATCAGGTAATGGGGAAAATAAGCAAAATATTTTTATTTATTTACATCTCGCGTTTATTATTTCTACAAATAACTAAAAGTGTTGGATATATCAACCACATCTTCCTTCTCCTATTTTCCCCACAACAACAATCCTGTGAAGTAAGTTGGGCTGAGAGAGAGAGAGTGACTGGCCAAAGGTCACCCAGCCAACTTTCATGCCTCAGGAGGGATTAGAACTCATAGTCTCCAGCTTTTTAGTCTGATCCATTAATCATTAGACAAAACTCTTTTTTACTATAGAAAAACAAAAAAACCCTAAGCAAGCTAACTTTTTTAAAAAGATTGTACGAAACACCAGTGCTGATTTTATCGTTGGAAACATAGATTGTAAAACAGGTTGTTAAACAGTAAGCAGTCCAAAATGAAACTATAATTAATAACCAGCCAACTCAAAAGAGTTTATTTATTATTACTGGAGGCTAAGATGAGGCAATCAAATAATCACTTGACATTCAGTAGTTACAATGAAAATAGTCTAAAGGCCACCCCAAAAGTTCTCCTTGACTGGTTTCCCACCCAATGAAAAAGGCAATTGATTTAAAGATATTAATGATTCTCAGGTTAATAAATCTTTAGCAATTAATGGTCTGAATTAGTGGCTTTTCTTCTGAGTGGGAATAAAGTATTGCCACTTATTGTGTTGTTGTGCAAAGATCCAACGATGAGCCATGCAAATGAGGAAAGATGCTGTGTCTAACTTTACAACATGGAAGAGCTTTTCTTCTGCCCTTGCAAGTTATTGTTTTTGTTGTGAGATTGTTGCTTCCTTGCCAACAGCATTTGGCAAATGACCTTGTATCAGAGCTTGTTCAAACACGGATCTAATACAGGGGATCATAAAGGCAGGAATTGTCTGCTCTGTCTTCTTCAGGAAGGTCACTTCTATGGTGCACATTGCTATAGGGTACATACTCTTGACAAATGTATTTTTTCTTTTTTCTACACTTAGAGCATTTGCACCAAGAAAATTCCTTGTGTGTCCAATCACACTTGGCCAAAAAAGGATTCTATTCTATACTATACGGATTTTGTAATGTGGGGCCTCCCAGTTCCTGACAAGCAGATCCCTAACATCTTCTCTTCCTTTCCTTAATTCTCTAGAAGCCTTCCGGTGGTACGTAAAGGAGCCTGTCCCAGCTCCCTCTACATGGCCTGGCTTGAGACAGTCTCCAAGGACTTATATCCACCAATTGTCTTCATCCGGGGCAACCAAGAGGATGCACTCACCTTCTACTGCCAATAGGGGGCAGCAGGATCCAAAGGAAGCCTTGAGCAAACAGGCTATAAGGGGCTGCCTGTTATGCCAACTCAGTTACAAGGGGGGGAAGAAGTCTGAAAATCCTCCACATGGAAAGCAGACGGGCATTGCCGATGCGTGTGTCAGCATCACCAAGAGGCCAGGGCCATTCACGCACAACGAAGGAGTTTTGCTGAGTTTTAAAAAAAATCCCTGCTTGTTGTTGAGTTTCAACACAAAGGACCGATTCTGAATGTGTTGTGTCTCCATACTCTGTACATAGTTATACTTTTTTGAATATTGTTATTTAATAACCCTGGTGTGTCGTGTCCCCTACTTTGTTCTTCTTCGCGTTGTACTTCCTCCTCCACTTATGGGATTCCTTTTCCAGCAAAGCTCAACATGTTGCAAACCTTAGTGGGTGCGACTCTTGAGTGACAAATACACGAAAGCAGAGTTAAGCCTTTTAAGGCAGGGGTGGGCAATTACAGCTCCTTTATAACCTATGGACTTCAACTTCCAGCATTTCTAAGTCAGCCATATCCCCAAAGTGCTTTTTCAAGAGGCAAGTGGACTTTCTGGGGTTTTGTTTGAAGATGTTTTGCTTCTCATCCAAGAAGCTTCTTCAACTCTGACTGGATGGTGGGGAATGGAAGGATTTATGCAGACAGCTGGTCTTTTGTATTGCAAAGGAGTATAAATCCTTTCATTCCCAAGCCATCCAGTCAAAACGGAAGAAGCTTCTCGGATGGGAAGCGAAATGTCTTCAAAAGAAAAACCAGAAAGTTCAAATGTCTCTTGAAAAAGCTCCTTTTGGGACAACCATGACCTGAATGGCTGAGATCTCCACAGACATCAAGTCGGTCATGCTGGCTCAGGAATTCTGCGAGTTGAAGTCCACAGATCGCAAAGGGCCATAGTTACCCAATGCGTACTTTTAAGGGCAGCATTTAGCTCATTTGCAGATTCCCAAACAGGCTTGAGATTCAGATCATTTGGGAATCCATTCTGAGGGGCTTCGGAGACAGCTTTGCAGCTATTTTGGCATCAATTGCACCCCTTAAAAACAACTGAAATCTTGCTAAAAAGAGACACCCACTTTGTCTCTTTAACCATTTGCTCCCTGGTAAACTAAAAGAAACCCAAATATTTCAGCCTCACCAATCAGTTGAGCTCATGACCCATACAATTATGGTTGAGATGGAAGGTTCTGTTCACACAGCAAAAGGAAGACAATGTGGCGTTTGTGGAAAAAAATGGAAATCAGCTGATATGAAGACCCACAAGCAACGGTCTTCAAAGTTGGCAAGTTTAAGACTTGTGGACCTCAACTCCCAGAATTCCTGAGCTAACATGACTGGAGGAGGAACTCTGGGAGTTGAAGTCCACAAGTCTTAAAGCTGTCAAGTTTGAAGATCTCCGCCCACAAGCAAAACTTGTGAATTTTCTCAGCTCTTGGATGTGTTGTTTCTCAAAAGTGCCCCCTGTTTTTTTCCCCCTCAAAAGACACTTTTTACCCTTACAGACCCAGCACAAACACACTGTAGAGACCTTCCTACAAAATCAAATCATTTATTTTAAGCCAAAAAAGTGATTGTCTCTGGGTTGTTTTTTTTTTTTACAAATGTGTATCTCTTAAGCCTTTCAGCTACTTTCACTTCACGGCTTCCAAACTGAGGAATGTTTTCAGGCAAAAAGAAACCCTTAATCTCGCCATGTTACCTCCACTTCGTCTGTACGATACCTGGAAAGAATGAAAGCACACAACTAACATTTGAGTGGATATCCATTCCTCTGAGGCTGCAATTTACCTCAGAATAAATACATACCAAATGTAGCTTTAAGAGACCTTTAAAAATGGACAGGGTGGGAAGGGGTACAAAGCTACATCCACAGTCAGGCTGATTTGCCACCAAATCTGGGCTCCCTAAGCTGTTAATTGCAAAAATGTAGGGGGCTGTTTGTTTAATTGCATTTTCTGAATCTGTACAGATTGTTCTCGACTTATAACAGTTCATTTAGTGACTGAAGTTATGGCACTGAAAAAAATGACTTATGACCATTTTTCACACTTACGACCATTGCAATATCCCTATGTTTATACGATTTACATTCGGATGTTCGACAATTGGTTCATATTTATGACGGTTGCAAAGTCCCTGGATCACATCATCCTGTTTTTCAACCTCTCACAAGCAAAGTCAATGAAGAATTCATTTAACCACCATCTTACTAATTCACCAACTGCAGTGATTTACTTAACAGATGTGGCAAGAAAAGTTCATAAAATGGGACAGAACTCATTTAGCAAATTTCTCACTTAGCAACATAAATTCTAGGTTCAACTGTCAACATAACTCAAAGATTACCTGTATTTGCAGGAAGTTTTAAAAAGTTGGGAGTTACAAAGACCAAGTAAAGCCACAGCTTCAAAGGTTTCTGATTTCGCAAGGAACTAAATAAATTAAAATGCCTCAGTACTTATGTGTCCCCTTTCTCCTTAAGTTCACAATTCTTTCCCCCTCTATTGCAAACAAGGTCAATCACCTTTGTGTAATCCACGAATCTTCAAGTGCTGTGATTTGGCCAGACCGGAACATTTCCCAACCAGCTTGTGCGATCATGGCACCATTGTCAATGCAGAACCTGGGTACAAAATGGTCATGAGGAATCAGAGAATTAAAAAAAGAACAGCCTTTCTTAGCACAGGCTCTCTCTTTTTCTCTTGCAAACTCAAGGAAGCTCCACAACAGCAAGGTGTGATTTTATTACTTCCCAAATTTGCTACTTGCAGCTTAGTTGAGTCTAGGAGAGACTCAGGAAAATTAAGTGGATTCAAGCAACAGGAGGTCAGCCCTGGTTTTTTTAGGCTCTAGATCCTGCAGGTTATAAAAGAATTGGGACCTTGGAGGTCTTCCAATCCAACCCCATTCTCAAGTGGGAGACCGTGTACCATCCCAGAATAATGGCTGTCCAATCTTTTCTTAAAAGCCTCCAGTGATGGGAGTACCCATGATTTCTGGAGGCCAGTTGTCTCACTGGTTTATTGTTCTAACTGTGTAGATGACCCCACACAAAATGACCTTCCTCGCCAGCATTGGTCAACTCTGGACAGGATCCGTTATCCAACATGGTGTCTGCCAGGACTTGAAGTGGGTCTTGTCTCTACTCCTCAGTGTGACTATGGCGTTCCTAGACAAAATATTCATCACATTTTGTCCTCATATTCATCAAGAGCTTACACCAGCCCAGTATCTGGTTTTTTTCAACATAGACTACCCTGTCCTTGAATGGGTGGGTGGACTGGACATTAACATTTGAACCACTAAAAATCCATGTATTTGCTATATGTTAAATAAATAAACAAATTGTTTCTAACTCTCAAGAAATTTCTCCTTAGCTCTAGGCTGTATCTCTCCTTGATTAATTTCCATCCATGGTTTCTTGTCCTACCTTTTGGTGCTTTGGAAAATAGGTTGACCCCCCTCTTCTTTGTGTCAGCTCCTTAGATATTGGATGCTATTATGTCACCCCTAGTCCTTCTTTTCACTAGACTAGCCATGTCCAGTTCCTGCAACCATTCTTCATATTAGATTAACAGTTGGAAGGGACCTTGTAGGTCATCTAATCCAACCCCTTGCCCAAGCAGGAGTCTCTACACCATTTCTGACATTTCTCTTCTTGAAAGTCTCAAGGGATGAAGCTCCCACAACTTCCGAAGTCAAGCTGTTCCATTGATTGGTTATTCTCACTGTTGTATATTTTATTAATAGCCCCCTTGATTATCTTTGTTGCTCTTTTCTGCTTTCTTTCCAGAGTCTCAACATCTTTTTATAACAGGGTGGCCAAAACTGGAGGCAGTATTCTAAATGTGGTCTTACTAAAGGCTTTATAAAGTTGTCCAGCTGCTTTTGCTAATAAACACCATTAGGTCTCCAAAGCAAATGGTGGACTTGCCACCTAACAGATGCATCCACCCCCTAACAGAAGCCTGGAAGCTAAGCCTAGGAGGATCTTTGGAAGAAGATGGAGGGTGGGTGAGTTCTCACCTTTCATCCGTTGCAAAGAGCCGGGCTCCTCTCTCCCTGCACATGATCCCCATCATCTCTTGGAGTCGCTCGTTACCTGCAAAGAAAGGGGCAGTCTCTCTGAATGGTGGAAAAAAAAACACTGGTTGAAAGGCAACAAGCACCACATATAGTAGACCAATGTTTCTCCCTCATGAACTATTTTCATATTGGTTGTTTCATGTCCTTCAGAAGTGGTGGGAGCTTCATCCCTGGAAGCTTTCAAGAAGAGACTAGACTGTCAGACAGGGTGTAAGGTCTCCTGCTTGGGTGGGGGGTTGGACTAGATGACCTACAAGGTCCCTTCCAACTCTTTGTTATTTTGTTCTGTTCTGCCTTCAGGTGCTTTGGAGAATAGGTGCCCTCCGCCCTTCTTTGTGACAGGCCCTTAAACGTTGGAGAGCTGCTATCATGTTACCCCTAGTCCTTCCTTTTCACTAGACTAGACATACCCTGTTCCTGCAAACTTCTTTCATAAGTTTTCATAAGCTTTCTCCATCTTGATTGTTTTAATATTGTGGACACTGCAACTGTCAGAGATACAAGCTGGTTGCCAAGCGTTCAAATTTTGATCACGTGACCATGGGGATGTTGCAACAGCCATGTGAAAAACTGTCATAAATCACCTGTCAAGCCCGAAATTGATATATGCGTAGCCATTTTATTTAGCCTTACTATATATTCCTTTTCTTTCTTTCTCTTTGCTGGTTATGGGGGGAAAGGTTTCGGGCTTGCCACATTCCTAAGGTGGGAGGAGTGAAGATAAAGAGAGTTGTTTAGGCTAGGTGGTTCTTCTTCCCGTGAAAGCACAAGCTGTCCCTGCTGAGGCCTTGAGATGGAGATTTATGACACCAGACAACAGTGATTTAATTCTATTGGAGAATGTGACTTTTGGGGGCTGTTTCTAACTTCCAGTATTATGTAGTGTAATTCTGGGTTGTGTCAAATCCGGAATTACAACAGACTTTGCCAATTTGATGCTTTCCTAAATAAAAGAAACTGGAAGATGGACTTTGTTCTTTTCCTTTTAAATGGATTTCATCACTTGGAAACTTGACTTCATCTTTTTCAGTGCTGTTGAACCTTTCAATGGTTCTTAAACAAATGGTTATAAGTTGAGGATTATGTATTTCTCAACTTCCCCATCTAGCCTCCACGGACAATAGTCCTCCCCAGGATCCAACCAAATCACCTACAGCCAACGCCGCCTACAATTAATGCCTCGCTGGAGCTAGTGTGTGCCATAGCTCGTTCGGTTATCTCCACCAGCATTGCAAAGAGGGTTTCCTGGTGAAGAAGGAGAAATTATGGGATCAGTTCAGAAGCTTTTTGTTCAGTTTTCCTCTATCTATGCATGCAATATAACTAAATCTTTATATTCCGAGGTCAAAGTAGTAGATCTTTTTTAGAAACCTACAGGCCTCTTCCTCCTATCCTGGGGCTCAATATGTCCGTCCTAAAAGGTAGACCAGACAAGTGGTGGGATTCAAAACTTTTTACTACCAGTTCTGTGGGCGTGGCTTGGTAGGCATGCAGGGGAAGGAGACAGTAAAATCCCCATTCCCTTCACACCCCACTAACCTGCTTTCCAGATCCATTCTCTTGTGCAGGGCAACAAAAAATGACTCAGCCAATCCTGGATTCGGGAGGCAGAGAATAGATGGGGATGGGGCCAGTCATAGGTGGTATTCTGAACTACTCAAAATTTCCGTTACCAGTTCTCCAGAACTGGTCAGAACCTGCTGAATGCCACCTCTGGACCAGACTAAGAAACGAATGCCTTGTAGAGCACTACTACTTTTAGTGTAACAACGAATAACAGAAGGACTTTTTCCACCTTATTTTGAATGAAATAAGGAAGGGCTTGTGTGAGCTGTTTTCTCAAGTTACTTTCTTGGCCCTGGCTCAATCCCCTCTTATCTAATCATTACCTTGGTGGTGGCTTTTCCTTCTGTCCTCCCTCTACTTGGTCCTGGGGTTATGACAGCACCCAAGACCGCTGTCACTAAGCGATACAGTGCGTGCATGCTGGCTGGTGAATTCTGGGAGTTGAAGTCCACAAGACTTAAAAGTTGCCAAAGTTGGAGAGCCCTACTCTACAAAATCTTTGGTCCAGATCTGAATTAGTTCCTTACCTGTAGAGAGAAGCAGAGGTCCTCTGGAGTGCATTCTCCTGCAGACAGCATTCTGTGAGCCACATCCTGCAAGAGAACAGCATCAATCTTTGGTATATTATTACAGAGAATGCTCATTTAGTAACCATGATTGGCCCAAAGGTGCTTTTTTTAATAGGCAACTGGACTTTCTGTTTTTTCTTTGAAGTTTTACTTCTTATCCAAGAAGCTTCTTCAGAGAAACTCCAGAAAATCTGGTTGCCTCTCAAAAGAAACACCTTTGGGACAACCATGACTTGGATGACTGAGAATCTCCATAGACCTTCAACCATGACTGGGATCATCAACTTGGCTATTAAGTGGACACTAAGTAAAACTCCAAATGAACTAATCTTATTTCTGATTTTGCTTTGTGGACCTGAGAAGATCCTAAAAGTGAGGTTTGGTCATAAAGCTACTTTTTCATCATTGTATTGTGGATGGCCACTAAACAAGGCAGTCACTAAACAAGGACTACCTGTACTGATGACATTAACATGCTGCCATTTGGAGGTTTTCTTCTAGTAATATTAACATTGCTGACAAAATATAATTTACTAGTATTTTGCTAACAAAATAAGAGAATGTCCCTCTTTTCAAAATAAGAATTGTATATAAGGGATATCTTTTTTGGAGTCAGAACTGGGGAAATAGCATTAGCAATAGCACTTAAAACTTATATACCAATTCATAGTGTTTCACAGCCCTCTCTAAGTGGTTTACAGAGTCAGCATATTGCCCCCCAAAGGATCTAGGTCAGGGGTGTCCAACCTTTCACCTTCCCTGGGCCACATTAGAAGATGAAAATTTGGTTTGGGCCGCACATAAAATAAAATAACAGTAACGATACCTGATCATCCAAAAAAACCATAGAAAACATAGTTAACATATTAAATTTATTTGGAAATGAAGTTAGTGAGATGTTTGACATTGTTTCTCAGCCACCAATGCATCTATATTTGCTTCGATGGAACTTGTTGCAATTCTCAGTGAGTGCTCAAGGTGCTCATCAGATATTTTGGTTCTAGTTTTATTCTTTGTGTGCTTCCTCCTTGAAAATAGCTGCTCACAAATGTAGGTGCTTCCAAATAGCGATGACATGAATAAGGCATGATTGTGAAGTGAAGGATATTTTTCTCTGGGAAGATATATCTTATAGAAGTCCATTAAAGAGACACGGTCAAATTTTTCTTTCAGTTGAATGTCAGATTGGAGCTCTATGCATTCCATTTGCAAATTGGCAGGTAATATATTAATGTCCACTGAAAATGGAGTTGCAAATGTCACAAAACATGGCTGATTTTTTCTAAAATCTTGAAACCTGTTCTGAAATTCCTGTACCAAATTGAAAAGCAAGGCTGCATATTTTTCCGTGTTCACAGAGGCGTGTTTAGCCAATGTGCTAAAATGCATCAAATTTTTTGCCTTCATTTGAGAATGCCATAGTTTCAGTTTCATTTCGAACGCTGTTATAGTTTGAAACATTGTGCTGATCAATTGGTTTTCACCTTGAAGACGCATGTTTAACTCATTTAAATGAGCGGTCAAGTCGACTAAAAATGCCAAATCTGTGAGCCAGTTTTCATCTTCAAGTTCTGGCACACATTTTGCTTTAGATTCCATAAATGACTTGATTTCATTTCTCAGATCATAAAATCTTGCCAGCATTTTCCCTCGACTTAACCATCTTACTTCAGAAAAGTAAATGATGTCCCCATACTCAGCATCCATAAATTTAAGGAATTCCTGGAATTGGCGATGATTCAATCCCTTGGACCTTATGAAATTTACAGCCTTGATGACAATCTGCATGACATTAGCCATCTTTAAAGCTTTTGCACATAAATTTTCTTGGTGTATTATGCAGTGATATTTAATCATACTGAAATTTTGGGAGGCAATTGCATCATCTTCTATCAATTTTACAAGTCCATCTCTGTTACCTATCACTGCAGGGGCACCATCAGTAGCTACGCCAGATATGTTAGCAAATGACAAAGAAAATCGCTGTGATGTATTTTTCACAGCTTCATATAAATCTCTTGCTTTAGTTGTGTCTTTCAGTGGAACTAAAGCAACCATTTTTTCAGTGATATTATATTTGTCATCAATGCCTCTAATAAAAATTGCCAATTGAGCTGTATCTGTGGCATCTCTACTTTCATCTATTGCCATAGCATAAAATTTAAAATGAGCAGCTCTACTCTTCACAACTTTTTCGATGGAGTTTCCTATATCTTCAATTCGCCTGGCTACAGTCTGGTGCGACAAACTGATTTTTGAAAAGTCCCCTTTTTTATCTGGGCAAATTATATCAGCCACGGTTTCCATGCATTCCTTAATAAACTCACAATCGCAATACGGTTTTGATTTTTTGGCTATCAGGTTTGCAACCACATAACTGGCTTTGACAATAGAATCTGATTGAATCAATACTTTTTAAAAATAATTTTGTTGAGATGATAGATTTTTTTTCAGTTCAGCAATTTTGTCTTTACGACACATCCCTTCTACACAGCAAATTTCTCAGCATGTCTTGTCATGTAATGCCTTTTCAAATTGTAGTCTTTGAAAACTGGCACTGATTTTTTGCAAATTAAGCAGATTGCCTTACTATTGGACTCAACAAAAAAGTATTCATCTGTCCACTTTTCTTGGAACACTCTTCCTTCATCTGTAATTTTTCTTTTTTTGTGTTTGTTTTTATTTGTTGAGATTTCAGAAGCCATGCTGGAATGTAAAAATAAAGGACTTTTAGAAAGCTTGGTTTAATAATCAATGTGATTGCTATGTGCCTGTGCCACTTTCTGGTAGTCAGGAGACTAAGGCTGGGTTCACAGAACGGATTTTGACACAAAATTGGCTGTGGAATTCTGCATCAAAATCCAATTGCATTCCACTTCCCATTAATTTGAAAGGGAAATTGCTACTACCAGAAAGTGGCACAGGCCGCAAGATGGCAGAGCTCATATAAGATGGCAGAGCTAATATAATGGATGGGGTGCAGGGTTGCCAGATGGCAGTTTGGCTCTGCTGCCAAACTCAAGCCAAAATACGGCCAAATTATTTTTATTATTTATTATTAAGTATTTATTAAAAATTATTTATTTTTTATCATGGTTTTTTTATCACGTTTTTTTCCCCCGCCAAATTCGGGAGGGGGGGAGAGAAAGCTCGCCTGCCTCGTGCCTACCTCTCCTCCTGCAAATGGCCCGGCTGGATGCGGTAGGACTGGAAGGCAGAAGCAGCAGCGTCGTCGTCAGTGGCGGCAGAAGCGGTGGCAGCGGCAGCGGGGGCAGAAGCGGCAAGGGCAGAAGCGGCGTCGGCGGCAGAAGCGACGAGGGCAGAAGCGGCGAGGGCAGAAGCGGCGTCGGCGGCAGAAGCGGCGAGGGCAGAAGCGGCGTCGGCGGCAGAAGCGGCGAGGGCAGAAGCAGCGAGGGCAGAAACGGAGTCGGTGGCAGAAGCGGCGAGGGCAGAAGCGGCGTCGGCGGCAGAAGCGGCGAGGGCAGAAGTGGCGTCGGCGGCAGAAGCGGCGAGGGCAGAAGCGGCGGCGGTGGCAGAAGCGGCGTCGGTGGGGGCAGAAGCGGCGTCGGCGGCAGAAGAGGCGCCGGCGGTGGCAGAAGCAGCAGCAGCGGGGGCAGAAGCAGTGGCAGCGGGGGCAGAAGCAGCGGCAGCGGCGTCGGCAATAGCAGGAGGTGGCGCTCTGATGGCGCCCGCCTTTTCTATTGCTGCTTGGCGTGGCGCTCGCCTCGCCCCGCCCCGCCTCGTGCCTGCCTCTCCTCCTCCTCACTGGCTCTGGCACGAAAGTTGGGGGTGGGCACTGGGCCGCATCATGAGGTGACCTGGGCCGCGGGTTGGACAAGCCTGATCTAGGTCCTCGTTTTACTGACCTCAGAAAGATGGATGGTTGAGTCAACCTTGATCCGGTCAGGATCGAACTCTTTGCAGTCAGCAGAGTTAACTTGCAATACTGTTTTCTAACCACTGTACCCCCATGGCTCTTAGAATAATTTGGGGGTCTTGAAAATGATATCGAATGAAGGTTATTTGTTTTTAAGGGCCTAAGTGGTTCATTATTCAGGAGGGTGGGGCATATTAGTTACAGGTTAATCCACTGTTTTATAAGCAATAACATTTATTTTGTTTAAAGAGCTGATATGGCCACCTATCTCAGATGGTGATTTTAAGCAGCTCACCGTAACTGATGAAAACTATAGAAGGAAGAAGAATTAATTCTTTTGCACGCTAAGCATGCAAGGCAGGCTGAATCCTATTCCTGCATTTGACAATCGCATTCCCCTTTCAAGCCCACAAGTTGGAGGTAATATGATAGCAGCCCCTGAAAAACACCACAACGGGCAAATAAATAAAAGAACCATAACAGGTAGCCGTGGAGAATGAACAAACCAACATTTAAAGCTCTTTCCGGCTGAACGCAACTCCTAGCAAAGACATGGGCACATCCATGCATGGCAAAAGAGGGACATGTGCTTTCTTCCAGGATACAGTTTTCATCTTCGTCTGAACAACTTATCATTTCCTACTGTGTTGTATCCTCCTTAGCAATACTGAGACACAACTGAATGGGCCGGGAGTTGACTTTGTTGTGTTCTTAAAGGCAGCGTTTAAAAAAGAAAAATTTCTCCCTCTCAATTTATAACTGCTGCTTTGTGGGATTTGAATCCTACATACCTCTATGTGGGACAGAATCCCAGAGAAGGACACGTCCATGCCTTTCACTGTATAGGGAAGCTCGATCAACTTTTGACCCCTGTAGAGGAAAAGAGGAAGCAATGAATCTTCTTCTCCTGCATGGAGCTATAATCTAAGATATGGTGTCTCCAGAGCATTGTTTCCAGAGGTGGTATTTAGCAGGTTCTGACCCATTCTGGAGAATCGGAAGCGGAAATTTTGAGTAGTTTGGAGAACCGGCAAATACCACTTCTGACTGGAGATTTTACAGTATCCTTCCCCTGCCATGCCCACCAAGCCACTGCCACAGAACCGGTAGCAAAAAAATTGAATCCCACCACTGATTGTTTCTCAACCTTTGCAAACTTCAAGCCATGTGGATTTCAATTCCCAGAATTCCCCAGTCACTATGAACTCCAAAAAATGGCTAAGGATGAGGAAGACAGCACTGGAGAATCAAAACAGTCCTCACATCACGAAAAACAAGAAACAGAGCAATGTACCGAGCTTCTATATTTCAAAAGATGAAAGAAAGACCAGAACCTACTCTTTAAATGCCACCGGTCTGCATGCTTATCTTTGTAGCATATAGCAGAACAAGGAACTGCAACGAGTAACTTTTGCTTGACTTAGTAAAATACTAGCTCGATATCGGTACTTTGCTACAAAACTATATGGTCGGGCTTAGTTTTTGGGGAAGAAAATAAGGGGGGGAAAATTCTGCCTCTGCCTACCAGCATCCATCGGTATTCAACTGGCTAGCGTCCTGTCAGTGTGTGTGAGAGCTGAGGGCTGTTTGGAAACTGAAACAGTATTTGCTGTGGTGAGCAAGGAGACAGCAAGGAGCCTGGGCATGGCTTAGGTCTGTGATGGCAAACCTATGCACACATGCCGGAAGTGGCACACAGAGCCACTTCTGCCAGCACAAAAGAGGTCACCTGGAAGAGGCCCATTGCACATTCATGCACGCTGTCCACTCGCCAGCTGACTGCTGGGTATCTGGCACGCATGAGTGGGGGTGCACAGGACATGTGCACGCGTGCACAGAGAGGCATGGAGCACGAGGGGATCACGTGTGCATGTGCAGGGGCCATGAGGGGCTGCATGCATTGCCTTCTGGGCACTGCTGAGCAAGCGTATAAAAATATGGGGGAGCTGATGCTTTTATGTTTTGTTGTTGTGTTTGTATGTTAAAAAACAATAAAAAATTTTAAAAAAAAAAAAGGTTAGCCACCGCTGGCTTAGGTCAACTGTTCTGTACAAAGCTGCTTTGTGTTGTAAAACTAAAACTGAAACTCCTCTCCTCTGCTTATGTTTTACATTTGGAACAGATTTCTTTTCAGGTGGGGAGGGGGAGTAGAACTCCTTAGCATCAGAGCCAGGGGTGGGATTCTACCAGTTCGCACCTATTCACTAGAACCGGTTGTTAACATTCTAAGCAGTTCAGAGAACCAGTTGTTAGAAGAAATTACTGGCCTAATCCTGTAAGGAAGGCAGGAAGGAAACATTCTGGTGTTGCTTACAGAAACTGCCTCTCCGTTAATCCTTATTACATTCTTGGCAGGACTAGACTTCCTGTCTCAGGAATTTCTCTGGAGTCTTTTTCCCCTCCTTTGCTGGCACTTTGCTTGTGTGGAGTGACCATTTAAAGTTACAATGGCACTGAAAAAAGTGACTTATAACCATTTTTCACACTTACAACTGTTGCAGCATCCCCACAGTCATGAGAGACTAGGCGAGGTGATGTGTGCCTTGATGTGAGTGATACTGAATTGGCCACATCCAGCCATTAACATGACCACCAAGCCATGTCCACCCAGTCACATGACCACCAGGCCACGCCCACCACCCAAGCCACACCCACAGAACTGGTTGTTAAAAATTTGAATCCTACCCTGATCAGAGTGTGTTAATAATAATACATGAAATACTAATGCTCTGATGGTCATTTCAAAAAATCCTTTCTTAGTGAGCACTTGGAAGCCAAGAAGAACATGTGTCAAATTTCAAGTTTGTAGGCTTTACGGTTGTGAAGATTTTATGATGATGCATGAGTGGTATTTTGCTTTTATATATATAGCTATATAATGTTCATATGTGGATCATCCTTTGCTCATATGTGGATCATCCACAGAATTCAGAAGCAGCTAGTTAACTTACTCACAAATGAAGGCAAACTTCATTCTACAAACTACAATCACAAAACTGCAGCTCTCTTACTTTGGCTATATCATGCAGGGGAAGTCACTGGAGAAAGCAATTATGTTGGGAGAGTAAGCAGTAAAAGGAAATTGCTGCTAAAGAACACGGAGGCCGGACACTATCAAAGCGGATACCAGCCAGAACATAAAACAACTCAGAGAAATAATAGAAGACTGGAAGATGTGGAAAGACCTGGCCCATAGAATTACCAAGAGTCAGGCATGATTAAATGGATAACATCAACATAATCTACTAAATACACACATGGAAAAGAGGTGGATTGGAACATATTACCATATGTATTATTCTCCTTCTATATGAGATTTAGAGCTTTGGAGAAGGGATTGTTTATGCCATACATTGAATTAAGAAGTACTCTAATGAAGTTGATGTTTTTGTGTGACAGTTTAGCGTGTAATACAGTTTTGAGTGTAATACATTTTTTCCTTGTATTGTTGATTACTTTAAGACATGAAACAATATTGTTGTACACAGGTATTGTGTCCTCTGAGTGCGGAAGAAGATAAAGAAGTGGATGTAAGTCCCCAAAGACCAGTTGTAAGTTTTGAAGTGTAAAACTACATATGTTAAGGTGGGTGGGGGCCTAGTCCATTTGGTAATATGATGTGGATAGTGATTATTGCCTTATGTGGGGTAGGAATGATTGCTTCTGAGGTATTGCCTGGTTATCCACTAATGTGGCAATGGTTATATTTCCAAACTGAACCCAACAGTACAGAATATGAAGGCCATATATCATTGACATTGATGAAACCTATGGCTGATTCCATTTTCTGGAAACTGTATAATATGATCTACCTTAGATGATAGTTTGTATCTGAGAAAATACCCAACATGTAACCACACATATGACATAAGGACTTGTCTAAGAGGATGGAACAACAATATGATTGTTGTTTTGACATGTATGGCAATTATTCTCCTTCCTATATGAGATTTAGAGCTTTGGAGAGGGATTGTTTATGCCATTCATTGAATTAAGAAGTACTTTAATGAAGTTGATGTTTTTGTGTGACAGTTTAGCTTGTGTAAAATGTCCATTTACCGGAAAGGTAGATGTACAGTTGGATGTCTTGAAGCACCAAGGGTTTTACATAGAAGTGTAAGATACTGAAGGACAAGAGCCTAATGCGAGGAGTGAAAATGTTTTTCTGGAATAAACGAGAGTAGCTTTGAATAGTTTTTCTTTTTGCGTAAAAGGAGAGACTACAGTTACAGACATCATGTCTACTTGTTTTATAGAAGTTCCAGTGTTAGGAAGATTTTTTTTTGATAGCAGAGTTTTTTTTTTAAATACATCCTGATGCTTATATTTTGTATAATTTGTCAAAGGTGATACTTTGTTTGGATTTCCTGTGAAGCCAATGAAATGGACTAATGAGAAAAAGCTGACAGTTTTTCCAGCTTATGACTGTGTTAAGTATAAACGTCCAGATGTCAAAACAATTTATACTTATTTGCCTACTAAAGGAGTTTTTTTATTGTATGGAAGTTGAAGACATAGGTGGAATGACACATGTATTGTATTTACCTATTGTATTTACCTAGTTGGTTTATGTTTTGTGGAGCATATGCATATGCATTTATACCAGTTAATACAATGGGTGTACAATTGGTTGTTTAATGACTGTTATGGCAACGGCCCATGCTAAGAATATAAACAAAGAAGTAAAACATAAAACAGTCAGCAGGAAGTTAGGCTTATGTTGCAAGAGCTTGACGGAAAGGTGTAAATTAGTTACAAAAGAAAAACGGTGGATATGTTATAGGTGAAAATTTGGTTACTATACTTGAGAATGTAAAGAGCCGAACTGAAGTCATTTTGTGTTCGCAGTCTGAACTTTTAAAGCTCAGAACATTTATGCAATGTGTTTTCTGCTAGAAATTATACAAGATTGCAAAACTATGTACTTGGCGTATCTTAGAGGTATGTGCTGGGGCACTCTGATATTATAAATCACGTTAATGGTTTTCTTATAATCTTCTGGTATTTGAATAACAGGAAATCTGACTATAATGAGAATGTTGGGAGTTTTCCATGGAAGGTAGGAACTTTCTTATGAAAATGTTGTATAACTTCTATATATAGTCAACAGGAAGTGTTATGTAACCATGTGATTTGATGAACCTATATAAGCTGTATTCACTAAATGAAAGTGTCTCCTTTTCTCCTAAACATGATTTGGAGTGAAGGGTCCGGTACTGCAGTATCTTACTTAATAAAGCATCCTATGGATCAGATTATCAATAGTCGGTTGATTCATTTTTATGTACATCTCACAAAAAATAAGTTAAGATTGTTATAAAAGTAATAGATATAAGTTATAACGGCTTATAAATAAAATATGATTATTGTTATATTGGTAAGAAAAGTACTAATTACAATTGTGAACACAAGATATATGTACCCAGTTGACACGCTGTGTGAATGAAAGATGGAATTACTGTAAATATAAAATAAATAAAAAAATATGGGAAAAAAAGGAAGAGATGGATCCTGATAATTTTTGCTATGACCTTTGATATCCTTCCTGAAGATTTTATGTATTTGTCAACATTATTTAATTTTGGTCCAGACCGGGGAGATGGGACCCCATCTGGTATATATTAAATACATTTAACAAAACAGACAAAAGGATGGTAGGAAGGTTTTCCCCATTATGACTTACTTCTTGGCCATCTGTTCGATGTTGTAGCCTGGACTGGGATCATTTGAGATCTAAGACAAGAAGTGAATAAAAGAATCAGATTTCCACAATACTAATAGCAATAGCATTTAGACTTATATACCACTTTACAATGCTTCACAGTCCTCTCTATGTGGTTTACAAAGTCAACATATTGCCATCAACAATTTGGGTCCTCATTTTACCGATCTCAGAAAAGATGGAAGGCTGAGTCAATCTTGAGCCTGTTGAGATACGAACCGCCAAAATACAAGTGGCTGGCAGTTAGCAGAAGTAGCCTGCAGTACTGCACTCTAACCACTGCACCATCGTGACTCATGTGGAAAGACCTGGCTAATAGAATCACCAAGAGTCAAGCGCAATTAAATGGATAATAATACTTGACAATAGTCAATAACCTGACTTAACAGTCAATAGGAAAGAAACAATGCCCATGAATAGTGGACACTGTAGTACCTGGAGACAGTAGAAAAGAAGATAAAAAAATTAGAGAAAATAAGAGAAAGATATAAATAGAAGTAGAATGATTGTAGCAAAAGAAAGCAAATATTTTAAGCCGAGAAGTATCTTTAATACTGTTTTGGCTGACACCTTATAAATGAAATTATTCTCCTGTATATATTCAGAGACTAAACTTCTAATTATTAAACTGAAAATTATTAAAATAACCCGACTTGGCAGACTTTGGGTGTTAGAATCCAGTTCCTCTGATCTTTGTCAGCACATCTGGATAGGAGATGTCCCAAAGGTCCTTTTTTCAGGAGGCAACTGGACTTTCTTATTTTTTCTTTGAAGGCATTTCGCTTCTCATCCAAGAAGCTTTTTCAGCTCTGACAGGATAGCGGGGAATGGAAGGATTTATGCTCTTTGCAAATAGCTGGTCATTTGCATTCTTTTTGTTGTTGAAATGCTTGAAGGTTTATTTGTGTCCCCAGGGTCACTTGAACAGTGCTCCTGGTTTCTGTACTCTGCATTTTTTCCCTAGAAATCTTTCCATCCCCCACTATCCTATCAGAGAAGAGGAAGCTTCTTGGATGAGAAGAGAAACGTCTTCAAAGAAAAAAACAAGAAAGTCCAGTTGCCTCCGGAAAAAAGCACCTTTGGGACAACCATGATCTGGATGACTGAGAATCTCCATAGACATGTATCAGGTTATGTTCCTTCTCCAAGTTCATCTGTATCTTCATGAAATAATCAGTGGGGGAAGTAGACCATATAGTTTTTTTTTCCTGACCCTCAAAGGGTCTCTAACGCACCACACATTCCTACTGAACTCTTCCAAATGTGAACACTCAGAAAGAAGCCCCATAACATTTACATATGATTTAATGAAGCCAACTTGCATTCTCATCTATGTTCAGCTGTTTTTACCTTCAACACTCGAGCAAAACGGTCCAGGCAGTTTCCTACAGCGATATCTATAGTTTCCCCAAAAATACGATAGCGATGTTCAGAGTAGGCAATGACCTGGATGGGAGGAAGAGGCAGGCAGTTATAAACCTCCTTAACTTATGAAGTTAAGGCTCAGCCAATCTCATTGTACACATATTGTATTCTGACAATAAAGGTAATAATAATAATAAATTCAATGTTCCCGAGATCCAGATACGCCAGCCAAAGTTCTTTTTCCTACCTTCTTAGATGGAAATCATTAGGTTCAAAACAATAACAAGGCAAGAGAAACTGAACAAAATAGCAAAATGTTTGGTGAGGCCTGGGGAATCCACAAAATGTACTGTGCACTATAAAATGTCAATCAACAAGTGGAGTCCTAAGCCACCTTGTCCCCAGGGCCTGCTGGAAAAGCTAGGACTTTTAAGGCTTTCTGAAAAGATAACCTCAAATCTGGACTTCAAGGGGAATGGAGTTCCAGAAGACAAAGATGACTATGAAGGAAGTCCAACTTGGACTCTCTGCTTTACTGATGAGCTCTGGAAAATGATGATGGTTCTGGCCAGATGTTATTGACTGGACAAAAGCCATCTACATGTCTCCCATGATTTCAATATCACTATTGTCTTCTCACACCAAGTTCTTTGACAGTGCTGGACTTCAGCACTAAGGAACTTAATGATGCTGCCTGCTCAGAAGTGCTTATTTGCACTAAACTATAACATGGGTTGCTTTGCTTCTGATAACTATTGTAAATGGGCCACTACAAACCAACTATAGATTATTCAGCTGAGTGTAAATTGAGTTTGAAGCTGAGACAATACTTCCTACTAAGCTATGATATGGTCTCCTGGTTTTTATTTTGGTGGGTCATGAATTCAACTGCTGCTCTGTAAATCATGATTTTTGGATAAAGTGAACTTGGGATATGATGGTTTACATTAAACCATGGTTTAGCACAATACGCAAATCCACAAATCTCTTTTCTTCCTCAGTACCTGAGTGTTTCCGCCGCTGACATACAACACTGTTGGGTTCTTCGCACCAGTCACAAGCCTCCCCATCTCAATGTGTCCGACACAATGATTCACTCCGAGAAGCGGCTTCCTCCACAACTGGGCCACTGTCCTGGCCACAACAGCCACAGTCACCAGGGGAGCACCCATTCCTGGACCTGAAAGATGAGAAAATATGCATTAAGTCCAATGTAGCATTGATGTACAGCTCTCAAATTTTATGTTGCATTCATTTAATTGTTTTGGTAAGCCTTACAGACTACAGTTACTCTTCGACCTATGACCACAATTGAGCCCAAAATTTATGTTGCTAAGTGAGAAATTTGTTAAGTTTTTTCCCTATTTTATGACCTTTTTTGCCACACTTGCTAAGTGAATCACTGCAGTTGTTAAATTAGTAACACCATTATTAAAGGGCTTCCCCATTGACTTTGCTTGTCAGAAGGTCAAAAGATGAATCACATGAACCCTGGACACTGTAATCGTTAAAGATATGAATCAACTGTCAAGCATACAAATGTAAATCACGTGACTATGCAGTTGCTGAAACGGTCATAAGTGTGAAAAAAGGCCATAAGTCACTTTTGTACACAGTGCTGTTATAACTTTGAACAGTCACTGAATGAACTGTTGTAAGGAGAGGACTACCTGAATTATAGACCATTCACTGATTTTATTCTACCAATCTGGGACATTTAAAACATGCCTGGATTAAGAAAATTGCCTAGGAGTAGAGAACTTGGTGGTCCTTTAGATGTTCTTCAGATGTTGCTGAAATATACAGTTCTTTACAAGTCCAGCCAGCGTGGCCAACAAGAAGGTTACCAGAAGATGTATAGCTATAGGTTCTTCAAGGACCCTTAATCAAATTAATTAAAGCAGTGGGCCAGGGACCACTGGTGGGCCATGAGAAAATTTTGGTGGTTCTCAGAGAAATGTCCCCCACAAAGCACTCCCGCCCCAAGCAATTAATCCAGGCTGCACGGGAACACAAGGCTGTGCCGCCCACATGGCTCACCCACCCGTTGGCCCCCATCCTTCGACCAAGCACAAACCTTACTTTGAGTAGAGCCACTCGAGCTGGAACTGGAAGGTAAGGCCAACGGCGGGGGAGGGAAATCTGCCCCAGGGTGGCTTGCTGATGTTGGTGGGAAAGTCGGTCCCATATTCCAGAGCTGCAGTAGTCACAGGACTGACCCTTTGGTCATCCTGGAGCAGCTTCTTCAGTCCATGGCAGGCTGGTGCACCCGGGTGGAGGAGCAGCTGCTCCAGGATGATCAGTCCTGTGACTACTGCAGCTCTGGAATATGGGACCAACTTTCCCACCAATGTCAGCAAGCCACCGTCAGTTGAAATTCATATTAGTAGTCCGTGGGATTTAAAATTATGAGTTTGGTGGTCTTTGAGGTCCAAAAGGTTGGCAACCCCTGCCTTAAAGCATGGGTCTCCAACTGTGGTGACTATAAGACTTATGGACTTCAATTCCCATGCTGGTTGAGTAATTTTGGGAGTTGAAGTCCACAAAGTCTCCAAGCTTGCATACCCTCCCTGCCTTAAAGAATCCATGTGTCTGTCCCTTTAAGAAAAGAGGTTCACCTTTGGTGAAAGCCACTGCGTCAATGTCCTCAGGTTTCAACTCAGCTTCTTCCAGGGCCTCACGCAACACAGTAAGGACGCAAGAACGGTGGTGGCGTGCCGTGTCACCTGGAAGGAAACCTAAGAGTGGGACCAAAAATGGGGAAAAGTCATGTGACCATGGGAGCCCATTAATTAATCTGCTCTCCCATCTCTTTAAATCTAGGAAAAATGCTGAATTCTTTTAGCAAGCAATTCTCTTATAGGTCTTGTAGGCTGGTGTCCTCCAATGACTTCAACTCCCAGGATCCCTTCCTAGCACATACCCTGGCTAGGAATTTTGGGAGTTGAAGTGCTACTAGAAAGCATCTAGCTGGGTTCTGAAGAGCATTCATGGGAAATATAATAGTAATAGCGTGCCTACTGTCCTTGTCCTACTTTCCCATTTATTTGTACTCATTTATTATGTATATGCTTATACCTGTTTACATTTATATGTTTATATGTTATGTTCATACTTATACTTGTTTTCTCATACATGCTTGACAAACTAAACTAAATAAAAATAAAATAAATAACACAAGATACCTACCTTGTCCCGGAGGGGTTACATAGGTCCTTCGTGGATTGCTCAGCACTTCCCCATCTTTTACAATCCCAATTCCGATCTTGTTGGCGCTCCCCTCAAAGCCGATCACTACGGGCATCTCTCCCTGGAACACCCAAAAGAGAGTGAAATTTGGTTTCTTCCAACAGAAACCTCGGAATCTGCAGCGGATCCCGGATCCAGCTGATTTATCCACAGAACGGGTAGCAACTTATCTAAACAAGGAGAAGAAGATTCGTGAGAACGAGTCCTTTGATAACTTACCTCCGATTCTTTCCTCTGCTGCTAGGTCCACCTTCCCCACGCTGTTCAGCGCAAGCAGTACACAGAAAAACACACGTGCAACCAAAGTATCTTGGAAGGAAAACCCAGCAGCAAAGGGTTAAATTTGAACCCTGCCCCTCCCTCTTCTTAAGGATTTAAGAGGAGGGGTTCTAGGGGTAGTAGAAGAAACTCTGGTGCGTCATACAGCATACACGAGCGGTGAGTATTCGAAAGCGGGCGGGTTCTTTGGCGCTTTCTGAACTTGGTTAATTTTTTGTAGAATGTAGACGTTTCATTACTCAATTACTTACTACTACTACAGGTAGTAAGAAGTGAGGTTTGCTCTCAGTTTATATTCTAGTGACTCGCGCTGCCAGCAGAATAGTGAACCTCACTCCTTAGAGCTGATGCTGTTGCCTAATTAAGTCATGAAACGCCTTCAAGAATACAAGCTAGAATTATTACCAAGGACCCAAAAAACACATTTAAAACTTGAATTACAAATATTCTTTATTTCCTATGGAAGCTCTCAGTTTTCCAAATCATGGTTGTCCCAAAGGTACTTTTTTTTAACCCCAAGAGTAAACTTTCTTGGTTTTTGCTTGAGGACGTTTTCGCATTCGAGAAGCTTCCTCGCTTCTGAACGAAGGGTGGGGGGGAGAATGGAAGGATTTAAATCAGGGGTGTCCAAACTTGGCAACTTTAAGACTTGTGGACTTCTGGGAGAATTCTGGGAGTTGAAGTCCACAAGTCTTAAAGTTGCCAAGGTTGGACACCCCTGATTTAAATGGAAAGAAGGAAGCAAAAACCAAGGAAGTTCGGTCGCCTTTAGGATTCTATTGATATAGGTTTCCAACCTCAGTATTTGTCTTTTATAGAGAAAAAAAGATTTATTAAATATCCGTTTTTAGGATTTTCAAATTTCCCCTCTGGGTTGTTCGACTGGGAACCGCAGGTGTTGATGCTATGGGTTAGCAGACAACGTTCTGGGAGAGGTCCGGAGGACGCGTGACGTCACCCGGTCGTTAAACCCGCCTCCTCCTCAGCACGTGACCGACGTGGAGGGCGTCTTTCTTTCCAAGTTATCCCTTTAACCCCTTCCTACCTGAACCGAACCCTGTCGGCTTCTGCGGCTGCGCTTCCCGTCGCTTGAATAAGAAGCCCCGCCTCATCCTCTTTCACGTGATCCGCTCCGCTCCACGTGCTCTTCTTTCTCTCGATTCAAGGATTGTTGCGGATTCTCTCCTGAGCAACTTCGGTGCTTTGAAAGGGAAGCTTCGCGTCCGGTGTGGTGAGAATCGAACGTTGCTTAAAAAAATACTCATTTTAAAAAAATAAGCTTTTTTTCCTAATTGTGTTTCATCCGCCAAACGAGCCCGGAGTCCCGGCCTTCCCTTTTTTTGCATTTTTTTAAAAAATAAATATTTTTTCTGCTTTTAGGAGCGGAGTGGCAGGTAGAAATTCAACAGGGGTAACTTCCAAAGGATATCTGCATCCTCTTGCCTGGGTGGATTCGAAAACGATGCCCCTGAGCAAGTTATGAGTGCAAAGCGACCCATGTTCCCTAGCCACTGGTCTTTTATGGAGGGGTTGCTTTTGATATTGCCAAAAACTATTGAGACCAATTCAAAGAGGTTCAATTAATAGGAATAGAGTTGGAAGGGATCTTGGAGGTCGTCTAGTAGTCCAGCCCCCTGTTCTAGCAGGAGACCCTAGCGGCTGTCCAGTCTCTTCTTCAAAACCTCCACAACTTCTGGTGGCAAACTGTTCTGCTCGTTAATTGTCCTCACGATTGGGAAGATTCTTAATTCTCAGAGCCAATTTGTTCTTCTAAGAACAGATGTTTTCATGTGGAAGGGATTCTTTGCAAATGGATAGAATCCGGTGACCAACTAATCATTTTTATGGGGTCAGGGTTGCTGATGGAAGAGAGGAGCAGTTGGTGCATTTGGAGGAAGAGGAAAGGGGGCTCACTGGATATTCTGAGGGAAAAGAAAGCCAGGTTTGGGTGTTAAGTAGGGGCAGAGAATGCAGTATTGCAGGCTAACTCTTCCACTGCCAAGAGTTTGATCCTGGACGGCTGAAAGTGGACCCAGCCTTCCATCCTTCCGAGGTCAGTAAAATGAGGACCCAGACTGTTGGGGGAGATAGGTTGACTCTGTAAACCACTTAGAGAGGGCTGTAACACACTATGAAGCTGTATATAAGTCTAAGTGCTATCTTCAAAGTTCTGAGTTTTGTGATTGTGATTTAGGTGCTTGGTAACTGGCTTGTACTTACAACAGTTCCAGTGTTCTGTGATCACTTGATTGCCATTTGTCACTTTCTAACACAAGGGTCTTCAAATTTGGCAAGTTTAAGATTTGTGGGTTTCAACTCGCAGAATTCCTGAGCTAATATGCTTGAAGGAGGAATTCTGGGAGTTGAAGTCCACAAGTCTTAAAACTATCAAGTTTGAAGACCCCTAGTCTATGTCTTCCCACAAAGTCAATGATGAAACTAGCAGGGAAGGATGCAAATTGCTCCCATAAGTCACCCCTGCTCCTATAGGGAGGTGTATAGGTGCTATTGCTATCTCTACATGGTGTTCATCTTTCCCAGGAGACGCTACTGTTGAGAAGCCTAACATTGGCCAAACAAGGTAGCCAACTTCTTCGTCTGAGACATCTTTGGGAGCCTACAATGTCAAAACGAGAGAATAAAGAAGAAGAGGTCCTTCCAACAACGAAAGACATCGAGGGTATGGAATTCAGTCCTAGCATTAAAACTGGGGTTGATTTGGCAATGGGCGGTTCTCCTCTGCCTTATAGCATGTCATCATTTGGACCCTGGATTCTTCTTGGTGCTTTTTGACCTTCCCAAGTCCCATTCTTTATTGAATGGCCTCTCATTTCCTTCAGCACTTTTCCTCAACCCATAGATTGGAATTTGCCAGGCTTGGCTCCAGTGAAACCAGAGATTTTGGCCTCTCTATAATGAACCTTCCTAACTTATATCTTCTGTCTGATGCTTGGAATGGAGGAAGGGAGAGAATAAAATGGAAGGAACCTCTGGTGAATCAAGAAAGTTGTGACATTTCCTGGGGAGAGGACTACATCAGTCAAACTTGTTCAAGGCTCAAATCCAGCAGATAACAGTCTGTTGGCCAGCAGACAACAATAAGAGTGGTTTCTCTGCTTTAAGATGTGTGGTCTTCAAGTCCCAGAATTCCCCAGCCAGCATGCAGGCAGAGAAATTCTGCAAGTTGAAATCCATACATTTTAAAGTGGTTAAGGGTGAGAAACACTGTAGTGTAGATCTAGTTCCCAACTTACAACCATTTTGGTGATCGTTCAAAGTTATAACAGTACTGAAAACAGTGACTCATTTTTACCCAAGGTTACGTGATCAAAATTTGGATGCTTGGTTTGTATCGATGACAATTTCAGTGTCCCAGAGGTCATGTGATTCCTTTTTGCTACCGTCGGACAAAGTCAAATGGGGAAACCAGATTCACTTAACAACCGTGTTGCTAACTTAAGAACTGCAGTAATTTACTTAACAGCTGTGGCAGGAAAAGTTGTAAAATGGGACAACCATCTCACTTAGCAACATAAATTTTGGGCTCAGTTGTCCTAAATCGAAGACCACCCGCAAAATTCCCTCCCTCCCTAGATGTCACCATTGTCCTTTCCTAATCTTGCTTAGAATATGTCTCTCATTCTGCAAATGAACTAACCAAGTCTCTAGAAAAGCAACCAAATTTTAAAATCAATGTAACCTGAATATAGATAGTCCTTGAGTTATGAGTGCAAAATTTGAGCCCAAAATTTATGTTGCTGATTGAGAGATTTGTTGAGTCAGAAGTTTTGCTACATTTTGCGACCTTTCTTGCCACAGTTGTTAACTGAATCATTGCCACTGTTCAGTTAGTCACATGGTTGTTAAGTGAATCTGGCTTCCCCCATTGGCTTTGCTTGTCAGAAGGTCACAAAAACTGACCACATGATCCCGGAACACTGCAACTATCATAAATAGGAACCAGTGGCCCAGCATCTGAATTTTGATCATGTGACCATGGGGATGTTGCAGTGATTGTGTGAAAAAAATGTCATAAGTCACTTTTTTCTGGTGCTGCTGCAACTTTGAACAGTCACTAAATAAATTGTAAGTCGAGGACACTGTTTCTAGTGGAGTCCAATTTTCATCAAACAAGCAAGCACCTGTTCTTCCTCCCTATAATGTTGTGTTTTGTTTCTTTTTCCCTCAGAACCAGAGTCTAAAAAAGCCAAGAAAGATGACGAAAAGCCAGAAAAAGAAGTGGATGTTCCAATTCTATACCAAGATCCCCCTGATAAGCTCACCTCATCCAGTGGCAAAAAATATACTTTGAAGGTCACTTCCTGGAATGTAGATGGCATCCGAGCCTGGTTGAAGAAGAAGGGCCTGGAGGTAACCCAGGAGAAAACTCCACCATTTTGTTTTCTTATAGCTGGTTCTTTCCACTTTGGGTGTGATGGCAGTGATTTTTCCTCTACCCATCCTCAAAGTGAATGTCATAAAAAGAAAGGCTGCATTTAGACATCACATATCAGTTAAGATTATCTTTATTGTCATTTTTCCTTGTGCACAAAGACACGCATTAAAACGAAATTCCAATGCCCACTCTAGAAGAAGGGTGGAGGAAAACAGCACCCACCAAACACTGTCACCATCCCCAGGAAAATAAATTGGGAGGGGGAATTGTAAAAATTCAGTATAACTGAGATTGACTCTTAATGAAGCATGTCATGTAATTTTACAGATGGTCCTCATGTAATAACACAAATTAGATCTAGAAACTCCATTGTTGAGCAACATAATCACGAGTCGGAAAACCACATTCTCACATTGTTTAGCAACTGCAGTTCTGATTGCCATTATTAAGCGAGGACCTCACATGATTGTAACTTGCCAGCTTCCCGTTGATTTTGCTTGTGGAATTCAGCTTCCCCAATGCCGGCTTCCCCATTGATTTTGTTTGTCACAAATTGTGATCATGTGACAGTGGGACACCACAATGGCTGGAAAGACTGGTTGCTAGTATTATTCTTTCAGTGCTAGTGTAAGTTCAAATAGCCACGAAACAGTCATTAAACAAGGACTACTTATATTGGCAACAATTTCATCTGCATGGAAGCTATTTGGCAGGTTGATTTTTTGGATTTTGCCTAAGGCCATCTAATTCTATTTTATTTATTTAATTAAATAATCTGCTAGTAGTCCTTGATTTACAACAATTCATTTAGTGACCATTGTTATAATGGTATTGAAAAAGGTGACATATAACCGATTTTCACACGACAGTTGCAATAGTCCCAGGGTCATGTGATCAAAATTCAGACGCTTGACAACTGGTTCATACTTAACGACGGTTGCAATGTCCCAAAGTCATGTGATTAGCTTTTGCGACATTCTGATGAGCAAAGTTAACGGGGAAGCCAGATTGACTTAACAACCATGTTACTAACTTAAAAGTGTAGTGATTCACTTAACATCTGTGGTAAGAAAGGTCATAAAATGGGAAAAAACTCACTTAGCAAATGTCTCGTCTAGTAACATAAATTCTGGACTCAATTGAGGGCTACCTATAGCTATCCATCTCATGTTCTGACTAATTTTTAATTAGCCAACATTGGCTAGGTGCTAGCATTTGTTCATCCAGACAATCTGATCAGATTTCAAAGTGGAGAAAAAATGGGAGAGAAATATTTCATGCCTAATTTTGAAGAATCTGATCCAATGTACTTCAGTAAGTTGTCCTGAGAAAATTTTTTGGAAAAGAATTATGTGGGATGGAAGTAAGGTTGTTCTCAACTTACAACAGTTCATTTAGTGACCGTTCAAAGTTACAATGTCACTGAAAAAAATGACTTATGGCTGTTTTTCATCTTATGACCATTGCAACATCCCCATGGTTACGTGATCAAAATTGAGATGCTTGGCAACTGACTCAGATTTATGACGGTTGCATATTTGCGTATGATCACCTTTTGCAACCTTTTGTCAAGCAATGTTAATGGTGAAGCCAGGTTCATTGAACAACCATATTACTAACTTAACTGGAATGATTCACTTAACGACTGTGGAGAGAAAGGTCATAAAATGGGGCAAAACTCGATGTCTCTCTTAGAAACAAAAATGTTGGGCTCGATTGTGATCGTAAGTCAAGAACTACCTGTAAATGTAATGATGAAGACAGCATTACATGAATGTATCTGTCCCTTTTCCTCCTCCCTATTGATTTCACATTTTTTTAACATGCCCGTTGCTTCTGCTTGTGGCTGTGAATTCCACCACATTTGCCCCATTGTGAAAAAAGATGCTTTTTTTTCTTGGCTCTAAAATAATTGATCTTTGGGGTTAATCTCTGTATCCTGCTGTTTGAGGAAAGCGGGAAATAAATCACACATTCCCGTTTACCTACCTTCTCCAAAACATACATAACTGTAAGTTTATTTTTTTATCCAAATTAAAAACCTTCAGCTCTTTTAGCTTAACATTCTCAAACCTCCAGATCCACCCTGCAGCTGTGTGAAGATGGCTTATTTTGAATTTTGAGGGTAACGGTCTGTACATTTGGGGCAGATGTTTCCTTGTTTCCCCAAAAATATAGCCTACTTACTTTCTAAATCCTAGTTTGATTTTTACATGTGCACCCAATATAAGCCCTGTCCCCCCAAAATAAGCCCTAATTAAGACCCCGTCGGCTCCAGTGTGCATGGGTAACAAGCTACCGTGAGGAATGGGGTGGTGGAGCTCCCTTACTACTTTGTATAGTTGCAGCCAGGCCTTGCACACCTCGGCCCATTTTTTCTGCAACCGGCAAGGCTTTCCTGAAGGCCTCTGTAGCCAATAACAGAGCTTTGGGTTGATCAGGAAAGCCTTGCCGGCTGCAGAAGAAATGGGCCAAGGTGTGCGAGACCTGACTGCAACTATGTGAAGCCAAAGACGTTCCTGAAGGCCTCTGACAGCGAAAAAAAGCCCGGGGGCGAGGCACGCAGGTGAGGTGAATCAGTGGACGACATCTGCCCCCCACCCGAAAAATAAGACTTGGTGCCATTTTTGGTGGCAAAAAGAATATGATCGTCTTATTTTGGGGGAGAGTTGAAAGGCTATAGCAGGGATCTCCAACCTTGGCAAATCCACAAGACTTGTGGACTTCAACTCCCAGAATTCCTCAGCCAGCTGCTGGCTGAGGAATTCTTGGAGTTGAAGTCTACCAGTCTTAAAGTTGTCATGGTTGGAGACTCCTGGGCTAGAGGATGTTAGACTAAACAAGGGGTCCTAAACCCTGGGTTATGGCCTGTTCGGAACTGGGTCATGTGAGAGGCAGGTCGGCACCCGTGCGTACATGCAGCTCCATTCACACAAGTGGCATGCCAGCAGGCACACGTGCTAGGCCGCTGCTCATGTGGGCCAGTTCCCCTCTTCTCCCCAGCCAGGCTGTCAAAGCTGCAAAGACCACTGGACTAAACTACAATACATGGGGATTGTGCTTTAGAGAATGCCTGCCAAATACCACTTTCCTGTCACCTGTTTGGCTGTTTGTAGGACACTGTTCTGTTTGGGCCTTCTCCAGATGTGTGTTTCAATTCTTAAAAAAGAGATCTTCATCCAACAGGATTCTGCGTCAGGATCCTGGGAGCTGAATTTTACACATTTGGAAGGAACTCGTATTAGAGGAAGCCTGTTTGTTGCAATTCATTGTGGATCTCGAATGAAAACAACCTCTGCATTGTTACAGGCCATCAAAAAAAACAATTATAAAAATACTGCGCTGTAGTAACCAGCAGTGGAGAAGGGGACAGGCAGGGAGCTATCAGCAGCCAGCTTAGTTGAAGTTATGAAGGAAGTTGTTTCTATATCCCTTTCTCTTCAATCAAGCGAGAAAATGCATCTAGTTTACAGTGAAGTCTGTAGCTAATGTTTCCTCACTGGAAAATACAAGAGAATGGCGGGTTTTTTAATACATCTGTCTCGAGGATAGAATAGTCCTTAGGCTTGCAAAGTATTTTTTTAATCTTCCCAACTCAACCAAAGGTTGGGAAGAACGTTTGTAAAAAGGATTTCAGACTGTTAGAATAGATAATTCTCTAAAAACACGACAGAATCTCCCATCCCCCCTTTCTCTTCTGATGTTGCACAGGTTCATTTGTGTGGCCTTCGTTTAATTGATACTGAGTAATGTTTAG